CCCCAAAACCCCAAAACCCCAAAACCCCATTATGCCAAATTTTAGCTGAAATTTAGGTAGGAATAAAGGGCATTTGGAAGATGAAGTTATGGTGTGAGTGGCAGAGGAGGTGAGGTTCTGGGGATTTTTTGGACTTAGATGGACTGTTGGGGGTAGAGTGGGTGGAAGTTTGGGTGGTGGGTGGGTAGAGGAGGTTAGAAGTAGATCTGTGGGGGAATTTAGTTCAGGTTCGTAGGTTGATAAGTAAACATTTGGGTATGTATTTTTGGTCTCTGTGTGGTACAGCTGGACCTGGGGTTTGGACTTTTAGTTCAGACAGAGCAGCGCTCATTCAATTGCTATTCGAGTTATGCCATAACTTCATATGTTAAATGCCTCCCTATTTTTCTTGACAATTTTTGGTAAGGCTTTTGGCGTAATTGATGATGAATTACACACATTTTATGCATTGCTTTACTAAAGTCATTATTTTTATCCTCTATTCCCGATTAACTCGAAGTCACAACTAATATTTAAATTGTAGAAAATCTTCAAATTTTAATAAGACAATTATTCTGTTAAGTTTCTTTTTCCTTGGCTTCCTCGAAAAGTCCGACATGAGGCATATTTCTAGCCTTCTATAGTATTAGGATAAGAAAAATAGAGGGAGATGAGACAGATTTTAAGGAAGTGAAGCAGCCTGCGTGGTGAAATTGTTTGGAGACATAGAAAATGGAGTATTGAGGAGTAATTCACTCCTAATTTTCAATATTTACAAGAATTCATCCAAATTAATTCAAAAGGAGCCTAACTTTTCTGATGGAACCTGTTCTGATTCTCTTTAAAAATGCTTACTATTAAAGAATTCATGTTATTCGTCTGACTAATTTCTATACTGCTACTCCTGCTGGAAAAGCCATTCTTGATTCAGAGAATTAGGCTTGTTATGATGTTTAGACTTATCTTTACCATCTCGTTCCAGCTCATGTTCCTCCATTGTCTCCAGTTTGCTAACCAATGCTTGCACTCTTCGGTCGAACTCTTTCGATGGTTCTTCAGTTTTGCTCGGATACTCAGCTACAGGTTACTTGGAGCCTACCTGGACTCATCACCTGGGGCTCAGACCGGAAGTTGACATCGCTGCTGGCGTCGAAGCCCATCAACAGCAGTTGGTGGTCTTGAGGATCATTCGCATCAGAGTTTTGAGCTGGCGGATTGGACACAGAATTGAGGGCAGGTCTCACTCATCACTATAAATCAGGAGAGAGCTTACGAGAATCTGTCATTGAGGAGAGAGAACTGACGACTAGCCCTATTGTTCACAAAAGGCAGACATGCCTTCACCAAATCTTTTGTAGAAAAGTTTCTATATTTAAAATGTTAATCAAAAATTTTCTATATAATTTTATTCATAATCGTCATGTTGCCACAAACATAATTTTAAATTTTAGGAAATATTGAGGCTTACCTTCTTCTCCTCTCGATTGCAAACTTTATTTTATCAATAAGATTGATATTACTTTGATTATTGTCATTAAATCCCTCTGATAGCTCTAACTGTTCTGAATGATATTCATTATTGCCCTTAGATGTAAATCCTTTAACATTTTCGTCTTTTATATATTTAGATCTTGGCAGTACCTTTATTTTGATAGTCTTTTTATATTTACGAGCTTCAGTTGAATAGAGATGGTTGAATATCGAATAATTATACAATCTACTTGGAAAGTAGTTTACCAGAAATCCTCCAACTAAGAGCATAATCTCAAACACTCCTCCAAGCTGCCCTGATAGATCTAAAAATGTATAAACTCTTCTCTCAAAAGAGTCAACAACAAGGTCTTGGGAAAGTTCAAATTCAACAAGAGTGGCATCAGTACTACTTCCATGATTTTCCCAACCAAGTCTCGAACTCCCAATTGAATAAAAAGACTTTTCTTCTTCTTGGCCAAATGGAAAGATCGAATCTGAAAGTGAAACTGTACTTTTTCTGACGTATAGCCTTACTAATTTCTTTAAGTTAGGAACTAGCTTGTAAAAGATTCGATTATCAAGAGCTCCTTTAATAGGGTTGTCATAATCATCAAAATTAAAATATTTAGCTCCAAGGTTCAAGTAGACTTCAATCTTCTTGGCTTTAGACTCAAATTCTGCTTTATTTTGTCACACAATTGAAGTGCCATTGACACATTGATGTACCGAAATTTTCACAGTCTACCTTGAGTTTTTGAGGACACCTACTCCAATAGTCAGAGTTGAGTTGGCAGGACAATAACTGCTGTTCTTATAAATATCCCTCAAGACATCCACATCTTTGTTGATCTTTGGGTAGTTCTCTCCACAGATGGAAGCATCCTTTGAATATTCATTGAAATCTGACTTTTGTGTGGCAAAGTTATACCCGATTTCTACTTGGGTGACAGAAACATTGAAGTATGTAGGATCAATAATTCAATATCTAATAATGACACTGCGAATGAAAGATCATCCTGTGTCAAGTCATAATACTCTTCTATCGTCAGAGGGTCATTTACAATACTATTCTTTGATTTGTTTGTATCTTCTCGCTTCACCATCTTGACAAATATCTGGATTCCGTACGTCACCAGAGCCATAATGATCAGAGTACTAACAATGCCCCCATACAAAGACTTGAAGTTCTGTTTGCCTTTAAAAGTCAGACTGATAGGTTGGGGGAACATATCAGTTTCCTTAACCGAATTACGAGTCCATACTAGCACTTTCTTCATTTCTATTTTATAATACTCCATTGGGGTTTTGGGGTTTTGGGGTTTTGGGG